ACCGATCAGCGCGGAAGCTACGACCCCAGCAATGACACCCGACGAAGGTTCTTTGCGCCAATCGTGCAAGAAGAGGTCAAGAAGCTTCTCGCTAAACAGAATAACTGCGCAATTGCCTCAGTAACAGAAGTTGTTCTCCAGGAGATCAGGCAAGCGCTCTCGCTTGCTGTGTCGAGCACGAGCACCCCCAGGGCAAACTATGCAGACATAGTCCGCCGACAGCCAGTGAACGTGCCGACCGCGCATCAGTACCACAAGCAACATACGGCGACAGTGCCTTGTACTGCAGAGAAACTTCGATGACGAGGCGGCCACCACTTCGCAAAACTGATATCTGGCGTACCCCTGACCCTAGGCCCCTGTGCTTTCATTGTGGGGAAGCAGACCACATCGCTCGGTATTGCCCGGATCGCGTCGCAGGGTACCAAGTGTTTCTTTCCACTATACCTCGGCGCCATTTCAACGAAACACCTGACGTCGACCCAAGTGTCATGACCCCACGGGAAGTTTTTCCTGAGTTTCGGTCACGCTCGCCCTCTCCTGAGCGTTATTTTCCATCCTCTAGACGGAGCACCACTGACATGCCAAGAGGAAGATTTCCTAGTCTACGCCGGGGAAACTAAAAGCAGCGACTTGAGGGTAGAAGGTTGCGCATAGCCGAAGTGCTGACAATCCCGCAATACTGCCGAAGGAAAAGAGACACATTTTCAATGAATAGACAAAATATGGGGTTTCAATTATGTTGCAATTGCGATTGACGGACATAACGTCATGGCATTGGTCGACACTGGCGTTGACTTCTAAATAATTATTGAGAGTCTGGCAGACAAGCTCAGCAAGGTTAGAATGGAATGAACAGGACTGCAGGATAGAGGAGCTGGAGGGCAGCTACTCACACCTACCGGAAAGTGCACCGCAAGAATGAAGATAGGGGATGCATCCTTCGTCGCAACTTTCGTTATTCATTTCGAGTGCTGCAAACAGGCAATCCTAGAGATGAATTTCTTGCGTGAATGTGGTACCATCATCAATATACCAGACGGTGTACTGACCTTTTCAGCGGATCAAAGCGCAGCGCTACACCGAAAATCCCTGTGAGTCATTGACGATGTCACCGTACCTCCGTTATCGTGCCGCCTTGTTTCGGTCACGTGCAGCACGCAGCATATTGATGAAGGAATCGCTGAACAAGTATTGACGCTTCTACTCTCGCGCGGTGTTGCAATTACCAGAAGTATCGTCAATGTTGTGTGCGGTGAAGCGGAGGTTCTGTTGACGAATTTTAATAACGAGCGACGACACATTACACAAGGCAATACAGTTACCTACTTCGACGAAATCACCAAAATCCGCGAGTGCTGTGTAGCGCAACAGGCCGAACCGCAAGTCATGTCAGCTCCACCACATATCGACGTAAGCACGAATTTATAACCAGCGCAGAGACGGCGTCTAGTAGGTCTTCTTCGCCAGTTCAAAGACTGTTTTTCATCGACCTCGAGGGTTAGTCAAACGCCCCTGACGAAGCACCGGATATTAACGGGGGAGACGGCAAGGCCAATATGACAGAACCCATACCGCGTAGTACCGAAAGACCGTGAAGCAAATCAAGAACTAGTGAAGAAAATGCTCGATGATGACGTCATCCAGCCGTCAAGAAACTCTTGGGCATCACCGGTGGTGCTGGTTAAAAAGAAAGACGGAAGCTTGCAAATTCGTGTCGACTACCGCAAGCTAAACCATGTGACAAAGAAAGACGTGTACCCATTACCACGCATCGATGATTCACTCGACAGGCTGAGGTATGCACGCTACTTCTCGTCAATAAACCTTAAAAGTGGGTATTGGCAAATTGAGCTCGACGAGTGAGATAGAAAAAAACGGCTTTTGTAACGACTGACGGACTTTATGAATTTAAAGTCTTGCCCTTCGGATTGTGCTCAGGCCCGCAACATTTCAGAGACTAATGGATGCCGTTCTGCCAGGCCTTAAGTGGCAGACATGTCTTGTCTATCTGGACGACGTCATTGTTTCTTCAAAAACATTTGAGGAACACCTGAGGAGGCTGCTATTGGTATTCAGGGCAATAAAGTCCGCCGGCCTGACACTGAAACTCGAGAAGTGTCATTTCGGTTTCAAGGAGCTCCAATTTTTAGGCCATGTGGTGAGCCATGAAGGTGTTTGACTTGATGCCAATAAGATTGCGGCCGTCAGAAAATTTCCGGTACCAAGAGATAAGGAAGCAGTCAGGCATTTCAGTTTCAGTTTCAGTTTCAGTTTTATTGAGCATTTTCTTCACAGAGTTGCGAAAAAGAAAATTTCCTTAGCCTATGCGCATACTACCGAACGTTTATGGCCAATTTATTCCACATAGCCTCGCCATTAACACAACTTTTAAAGTCGTTAACAAGACGTTTTGTTCACATGGGGCGATCATCAACAAGCGGCAATTAACGATCTCGGACAATGCCTGAAACCTCCACCTGTGCTTGCTTATTATGATGAGGATGCTCCTACCATGGTCCACACAGATGCCAAAAACAAGGGTTTAGGCGCTGTACTCGTCCAGTGGCAAGACTCAGCCAAGCGTGTGATCGCATATGCTAGTAGTATGCTTTCCCGAGCCAAGTCTAACTACTTCACAACGAAAAAAGAGTGTCTTGCTGTCGTATGGGTGGTTATGAAGTTTTGTCCATACCTCTATGGTTGTTTCTTTCAAGTAGTCAGCGACCATCATTCCCTCTGCTGGCTGACCAACTTGAAAAACCTGTCTGGTTGGCTCGCACAGTGGAGCTTACGCCTTCTAGAGTTTGATATGATGGTCGTGTATATGTTCAGACGGCAGCACACTGACGCCAATTGCTCATCAAGGTCATCGATAAAGCGCGACGATGACACAGAAGATAATACCATGTCGTTTGTTGAAGTCGTCGATACCACTACGATTTCGTACGAGCAGAAGGAAGACAGCGAGTTTCTTCCCCTTATTGAATTTTTGAATGGCCGGAGACAATCGTTCTCAGAATATTTGCAAGGAGCCTGCCTTCATTCTGCTTACGTAGTGGTGTTCCCTATAAGAACAACTTTTCTCCCAGAAGAAGCACCCACCTACTTGTCGTTCCGACGTTCACCCGTAAGGAGATACTTTGTGCTTGCCACGATGAGCCAACGTTCGGTCATCTCGGATAAACACGCACATTAACCAGAATCCAACAGAAATAAAACTGGTCAAGACTTCCAGCTATTGTGAAACACTACGTTCGCATATGCCTCGATTGCCAACGACGAAAATCATCGCCGTTAATACCAGCTGGACTATTACAACCAATTCGAGTGCCCACGGTACCTTTCGCCCAAATCGGAAGGAATATCCTCGGACCATATCCGACTTCCCATGCTGGCAACAAGAGGGTAATAATCGCTACTGATTATCTTACGCGCTACGCGGAAGTAAAGGATTTGTCAAGTGGCACCGCTGTTAAAGCCACACAATCCTTCATAAAAAATATCGTCCTGAGGCACAGTGCTCTGACAATCGTAATTACGGATCGAGGTACCGCTTTCACGGCCGCGCTCCTGAAGACAGTACTTGAGCTCAGTGGAACCGCCCATCGGAAAACCACTTCCTATCATCCACAATCCATCGGCTTAACAGAACACCTTAACAAGACTATTGCCGACATGTTGAGTATGTACGTTGACGTGGATCACAAGAGCTGGGACGACATTCTACCGCACATCACGTTCGCCTATGATACAGCTCAGCAAGAAACTACACGAAGAACGCCGTTCAGTCTCCTTTATGGCCATGAAGTGACGACGATACCAACGCCATGGTACTGCACGATTGCAATAACATCAATTAAGACGTTGCATCTTTTACCGAACGAGCAGAAAAAGCGAGGCAGCTTGCGCGCATCCAAATCAAACAGCATCAACATTACGACGCCCAACGTTATATTCTGCGACAACGACATGTCGTCCATCGAACGGGTGAAAAATTCTGGATATGGAGTCTTATCAACCGCCGGGGACTGTCTGAAAAATTGCTAAAGAGGTATTTTGACCCCTACACAGTTTTAGAACACCTGAAAGACTGTAATTACGTGGCTGTTCCAGAGAGCCCCTCGACAACTCGCCAGCAAAAACCATAAATCGCGCACGTTGTGCGAATGGAGCCCTGATTTTCGAACTCATTTGCACCATACATCTAGGGCACCGTCTTTTGTAGAAGAGCATCGGGACGCTGCCCTCCGGAGGGAGACAAATGCCGCATTAAATGTGCAGCACCAAGAGAACGAGAAAGAGCACGCGCAGCGAGAGAGAAAGACGAGGTTCTGATCTGATCAGTTTGCCAGTGTTGTGATAAAAATAAAGCGAGTTGTCCGGTATTCAACTGCTGCTGTTTCTGCATTCTGACAATACACACACACACACACATATATATACACCTATACGAGTCACGCTGAGCCGACAGGGGACATGGCTTGACCCTAAGGAGCTCCCCCCTCGCCTTCACAGAGAAAGCACTCAATGAATGTTGTTGCAAATAGCCTTGTTCAATTTCGAGTGGACACGCCTACATATGCTTATCTGGCTTTCTAACGCGTCAGCAATAACGAGCTGATTTCTCAGAAATTCCCTTGTCCTTGTCGGTGTTGGTGTAAGCGTCGTTGGTTGTGAGCGATCAAAAAATTGACTAATATGCGAACAAAAAAATAAACTTTTCCTCACCTCTTTGGGGTATCGCACATATATAGCGTAAATATTTTATATTGCGTTTTTGAAAAACAATGGCACGTACGCTGTTCAGGACAGCTTATGTTCCTTGGCGATCAGCCCTGTTCAAGCACCTACTCAACCAATGAACCAAATAAACAAAGTTTGATTCATATTGAATCATATGCACTAGTCAATATTTTACAACACTTTTATTGCTGCGTTGCATTATATATATATATATATATATATATATATATATATATATATATATATAGCTTCTGCCTTCATTCCCACAAAGTGGTCAAGGTATCACAAAACGGCAGGCAGGTGGTGGACGCTCTTTCCGTTGATCGTTTTTGCTGCTCTTGTCGCACAAGTGTGCCACGCTCCTCGTTTCATGTGAGACCTATAAAAAACAAACACACCACAAAATATTTTTTCTATTCGCAGTAAAAACATCACCGCCGACTACTGTCTCCTCATTTTCACCATTACTATTAGCCTTACGTGGAATAAGACTTGTACTGACGTCTGCTCACAGGTATTCAAACACACTATCGTTCGTAAACCATTTCAACAGTCCTTGATCAGAGGCGCGTATCACGTTAGGTGAGTGCCTTGAGCTCCACCCCTATTACACTTACAGAAAAATGTTTCACAAATATATCTTATGTAGTCACCTCTTTCAAGAAATGTTCTCAGTGGTTTGCAACTACTCATGACTGTATTCGAAGATACTATATCAAATTACGCCAAGACGGGCACTGACTACGTGAGATATTGGTGTTTATGAGCATTGACACCATGGTTGAGAAAGCTGATTCTGGAATAACGGACTCATGAGTCGAATCACTCGGACTCTCTACGAGTCAGATTGAGCCATAAGTTAGTGTGAGTGAGTCTGGGTGATTCATTTTCTAGTGGGCTTGAGTCCGCGTAAGTCAAATTGAAGAAAGTTTTTATGAGTGAGAGTCCAAGTGAGCTGTAAGCACAATATATATTTGCTTTGTGTGGGGGGAGAGGGGGGGGGCAAGTCAACTGCGTAAGAAGTTCTGGCGATCTGAAAACTATCAATTACAAAATAAATTTTACCTTATGAACAAGAAGAGCACTCGCTACGCAATCGTGCATCTTTTTGCGGCGAAGCGACGTACTCGTGTACATCTCTACGATTTTGTGCTCGCTTTGTTAGTGCTGCATGTGACTAATCACGATGACGAACTATGTCCGAATGCTTTGGAGTGGGCGGAACAATTAAACAACCCACAAATTACGCAATAAGCAGTGTGTAAAATCTCGTTGTTATTTCGTGATTCTGCCACGCTATAGTACTAAGGATAACGCCATTGTTTTGCTGATATTAAACTTGTACCGGGTGTTTTTCAAAGTAAAATTCAAGCAACAGCCTACGTTTTTGGTAGAATACTCGACTGCCACGCACAGAACACAAATTTGAATTCCATTTGATCCTGATCATCTTCCTTTACCATTTAAATTTTCCACGTCTATTGGTTGTTTTTTCAGGTTTATTAGTTAGCCTGGGACAGCGTCGCCACTCAACAAAAAACCATGGCACCGAAGAGGTGTGCTCGAGAACTGTAACGTCATCTGGAGCCTGGATTTTCTTATGATTGCTTATTTCGTGTAAGCTAAAACATCACTTTATTCGTGAAGTCGTTTTCATCAAACGTAGAACTCCTTAAATTTAAGAACTTAAAGTTCTATGCCGACATCTTTCTGCCATTTTGAGGATGATGGCAAACACTACTTTACATGAAGCATCACCTTCATCAAAGCGATCAGCGTAACACTCAACAACTCGACTCACAAAGTAGATACAATGAAACGTTTTTATCGCAGATTTAGCCCCCACATTGATGTGTCTACACTCTAAAGAAAAAGTGTTGTTTTTCATTACGGTAAGGTGGAGTGCCAACTCATATATTATAGGGATGTGCATTACTGCTACAGTGTGACACTAACAAGAATATTAAAGTTTTCAATCTTATTACTAAAAGTATGTTCAATGCTTACCAAACAACGGTGCTGGAATTTCCACTGTCGCTGGAAGGCTCCTATGTGTTTGATTACCACATACTGAGTTTGCGGTGATCAAGACGCAGAGGCTGCGATGGGGTATGCTCTTAACCTCCAGTGCTGTTCTGAACACTACCAACTCGACGCAACGCTTGACACTATTGCCTTCGTCGCATACGGAATACGTATCGCACACTTTTACTGTGTATCCACGGGGCGTTCCGTACAACTTCGCCGGTGGATCCCACTTAATCTTCGTAGTCAATGCTGTAATCTGAGTCGTAGTAATATTCGCTGGAGAATCTGGTTCTGAAAAAAAAAAGAGAGAAATCAGTCACGTATGCGCGTGCTTCTCTGCAAAGGACATCAAAAGATGATAGTCTGCCGTCTGAAGGCGTTGCGTGAGACATGTCGCCATTTGACACTAGTGTAAAGAAACAAATTTTTGTAGAGTGTTAGAATGCGAAGCCACTGGTCGTTTTAGTGCAGCGTAAGAAACACTCGCTTTTTCTATCATAGCATTGCGTTGTCAGTGTTGCGTAATAAACAATGTGGTCTTTACAATCACATATTTCTGCCCTTTCTAAATAAAGAAACACAGTACATAATCCTTACGTATTCATGTTACGCATGAAATATGCGTAATATTTGCGTTTTCATTGAGAGTACTCACAAGCAAAAAAGCAGACGGCAAATCAAGATGGGTTGGCGTTAGGAGAAGTGTTAGACATACACCGAGCGGTTGAATCGTTCGTAGGACAATAAAAAAATAAACAGAGCAAATTTTTTGCGTTGAAGTATGTCAAGGAAGTCTATCGTCTTTAAAAAAACGACGTGTGCCTTTAGCAGCATGCTTGTTTTAGTTGAAAGGCCTGGGCTAACTCTCAATTTTGTAACAATTCTTTATTTATCTAGGTGCCGGAGAAATCGTGCATTAATTTGGAAGGAATGGCTCCCCCTAGACTCATTTGTACTATCCTGTTGATGGCACAGAAGGAAACAGCATTTTCTAAAGAAGGCAAGTGTCAGACACCTGTTTGTTCGATAAGGCTACAAATTAGTTAAATAAAAAAAGTAAAGAAAATTTGCAGCATATTTGACAACCATCCTTAGTCCCCACACTTTGATCCCGAGATCCACGTGCGTCTGAGTCGGTCGGTGCACCGTGTGAATGCGAAGGCGTAAGCAAATCACATTGTCGGGGTAACATTTTAAATGATTCCCAGTTGCGGGTACTCAAGGGAGTTTTGCAGTGGTATGACAGGTCAAATATAGTACGTGAAAAAGCAAGAAATGCAATTAATTCGTTCGTATAAAGACGCCGCTTAGGCAATGCTTCCGAGTTACACCGAAAGACTCAATAGTGACGACATGTCAACTGCAAGAACTGAAACTACTGCACTTGGATCCGAAGAGTTTCGCTACCTATGCCATTTTCATTCTACTCTCACTTTCTGCAAACAAGGACGAGTGAAAAAGTATGTTCGCGCCTCTTGCCAAAACAGGTTTGCCCGTAAAAGCAAACCAATTTCACATCGAATGCTGGAAGAGTGGCAGTTCTAGAGCTTGTCTGAAATTCTCTTCGGGCTATTGCAAGTACGCTAGAAAAAATACCCTCTAAGCAAGTACGTTTGCAAGGCACCCACAACGTCATTATTCGCCATAATGTGGAGAAGCAATGTCAGTGAGCCGTAAGTGTCAGTGAGCTTTATGTGAAGCTATGAACAATCTCTCCAACAAGATATTTTATAGTGCCGACAAGACTACAACCAATTCAAAAAGGAATTTTAGAATTGGCATATACTGAATTTTTTGTAGCACCTGGAAACTGAGTAACATTACTGATACTCAATGGGCAGTACCCTACAGCAAGCAAAAAATTTTTGACCAAACAAGACCCCGCTATTGCGCTGTGGAACGCAGAAACTACAGCACAGACCGCAAGATGTGTTCCACAGGAGAATCACTTCGTCTTCCTCTCCCACATCGCGGTCCCTACATCCATCCCCGTACATTGCGCTCATGGATGTACAATCCTCGGAGATCCCGCCCAGTACCAGCTCATCCACGGGCATTGCTTCAAGAAAGCGTGGTAATCCATCTAGTGAGAGCGAGGACACCGAGCTGTACTCTGCATCAGACTACGAGTCCTCAGAAGACGGCTTCGAACCTGTGCTTTACCGCAAGGCCAAACGAAGAATCATGAACGCATCATCAGCATCAAGTACAGCCATTGTGAGGACAGTGCCTCAGCGATGGCCTCACTCCATTCTGTTTGTGCCGCAGACTATATCTCCAATCTACGCTTCCTCCACAGGCAAGCACTGTCCTTGTACCTTGAAAACATTGTGCCTAACGAGATTAAGGACATCAGGATAAACACGAGGAAAAATATTTTGGCAATCGACATGAGGAACCCGAGTGCACTGAACACGCTACAGCATGTGTCGGACCTGGGAAACATCAAAGTTCGCTCCATCATACCAGCGAATGGTGACACCGTAACAGGAGTTATCTATGACATAGACATTGAAATCGCCAATGAAGATCTTCCTGTATTGATAAAACCAGTGAGTGAAAACAACGCCATTATGCATGCTGGTAGCCTCGGCAACTCTCGTTGTGTGAGAATAACATTCAAGGGTGACTGTCTTCTCTCTTACGTGAAGGTTGGCCATTTCCGTCACCAGGTTCGCCCATTTATTCCGAAGCCTATGCAGTGTTTCAAGTGCCAGAAGATTGGCCACGTGAAGAGCGTTTGCAGAAATTCCGCAGTGTGCCCCCGATGCGCTGAACACCACTCAGAAGACGACTGTAATGCAGCTACGTTTAAATGCCCCAACTGCCAAGAAGCTCACAGTGCTTCCCCCAAGGACTGTCTTCAAATTAAAAAAGAGATTTATATTCTGAGGCAAATGATGCGAGACCACTTGACTCACAGAGAAGCTGCGCAAAAAGTAAGGCGAAGGCGCCGTCCTCGTCGAAGGTCCTCACGAAGGACAGTGCCAAATCTGACGAGAAAGTCAGAAACTCAAGTGAAATCGACAGGCGCGGCTCCTAGCACGGCAAACATCTGCACTAAAAGAGAAGGTGCTGGAAGATCTCTCTCTCCAAAGAAATGGCCACCCCTTCAGCCTAGACGATCTGTTGAGCCTCAACAGAAGCCGCCTACACGACCTGTTGAGCCTCAACAGAAGCCGCCTCAAGAACAAGCACAAAATGCTGCAACGGCCGAGAAGCCAGATCATCGCGTGATGGTGATGCTAAGATCACTAGTGGACACCTTTCGCATGTTGTTAAGCGACATGAATACACCGTCAGCCGAAAGTGCCCTTCAAGTACTAGACGCGCTTAGTCCAGTGCTAGCAGCCCTAGAGTAGACCATGGCTAACCCACCACTGTCTTTCAGGGATGAGGTTCGTAAAGCAGCAATACCGCAGTGAAATGCCAGGGGACTGAGATCGCGCATTGGTGACTTTCGTCGATTTGTGTGCGTCAATACGTTTCCCGTAATCGTCTTCTGTGAGCCGAACTTATCGAGTGCAATACGACTCTCGGAATACGAACCTTTTATGTCGTCTACTGTTACCGAAAACTGCAAGGTTCTGGTGTACATTCGCCGAGACCTCACTTACATCCTTCAACCTGTACCAGCTCATGTAGGAAACCAATACGTATGCTTAAGAGGGAAAAAGAGGAGGCTCAACATCACTGTGGTTGACGCATACCTATCACCATCAAGCCGTTTCGATCAAAAAAGACTACGAGACATCATAGCGTTAACTCCTGACCTGTGCGTTATCATTGGGGATTTTAACGCTCATCATACATTATGGGGAAGTCAGAATACCAACATGTAGGGCAGAAGCTTGGTGTCTTTTGCTTCCGCCAACCAACTTCAGTTACTGAACGATGGCAGTCCTATATTTTTACGTGGCTTCACATACACTAGCTGTCTCGACTTCGCTTTTGTTTCGCGAAGCCTAGTGAAACATACTGAATGGTTCACGATATAGAAACGCACGGGAGTGATCACATTCCAACATACGTCAAGATCAGAGGATTGTCGCCTTTTAAAGTGCGCGACATGGTTAAAAGTTAGCGCTTGTCCCTGTCTTTCCGTCTGCTTCTACGTTGTGCGCTTCCATTTCATAATTAGTCATGGTTAAAAGAGCGGACTAGAAAAAATTTCAGTCTCGTATGGAAGACCATTGCGAAGAACACATATCCGATTTACAAGAGGCCATCAAGAGCACTGTAAAAGAGACTGTGTGTACGATCCCTTGCTCTGTAATAATCATGGACATCGACATAGAGCTGGAGCGGCTTCGAGCCTTGCGACGACAAGCTGAAAGAAGGTACCGGCGAACGAAGGACATAGAAGATTTACGGACTGCTAGCCGTATGCAGAATACGATCAAACGTCGGTTGGACAAGCTATAATTTCAACGCTGGATTACTTTCTGCGAGTCACTCGACCCTCATAAGCCTTTATCGCAGATATGGAGGACGGTTACAGGTTTGCGGTCATCGCCCATTCAGAAGTCACCATTCAAAGTCTGAGCCCTTCACAGAAATCGAACAGATGTGGACGTTGCTGAAGAGTTCTGTGCCGAATTATCAGGCCAAACTACCACCATCAGCAGCTCACCACTTTCGAGCAGTTGTTCGCCACCACGAGGTTCCTGTATGAACGTCTCGTTCACCATTCAGGAGCTCAAAGCAGCACTCGCTTCACGCAAACGTACCTCCGCACCAGGACCTGACGGAATCTCTTACAGAGCCCTGTGTCATCTGGGTGAGCGCGAGAACAGCCCCACTTCAGCTATATAAGGATTGTTGGCTAGAGGGCACTGTCCCCTTAAGTTGGAAAACTAGTCGTCTAGTACCATTAATAAAACCTGGCAAATCACCATTGGAACTTTCCTCCTATCACCCGATCACATTGGCTAGTTGCGTGGGTAAAGTGATGGAGAGAATGATTCCCGGCGGACTCGAGTGGTACTTGGAGTATCACGAAATCTGCCTAAATTCCATGGCTGGCTTTCGTCGTGGTAGATCATTGATCGATAGCGTCATCGACCAAATTACGTACGTTGAACACGAGAAAGGCCATAAGAGTCTTTGCGCCTCTCTGTTCCTAGACGCCAAAGGTGCCTATGATAACGTTTCACATGAAGCCGTCCTTACCGCACTAGAGAAGATTGGAGTGGGTGGCCGAATGTTTAAGCAGATACGCAGTTATTACCAAATGCGGTCCTATTTTGTGAGTACAGAGGCCGGGAACACGTCTACACATTTCAGTTGTC